ATCCGGAATTCTGCAAAAAATTTTCCAAGATAATAAATAACATAACAAAGTATTATAGAGAGCAAATTAGTAAAAGAGCAGATGAAAGTTGGATAACAAGCTGAGAAAGACACCCGGAATTCTGCAAAAAATTTTCCAAGATAATAAATAACATAACAAAGAAGATAATAAATTAAGAGCAGAAAACAAAAATTATCTGATTATTACTAGATCCTGATAAAGAGAGTGTAAAGAAGGTAAACATAGAAGGTAAATATTTCTTAAAACACAAATAACATTAAAAAAAAAAAAAACCCCCACTTCTCCAGACCTTTAAATGGGCCTGACTGGAGACTGACAGTGGTCAAGGTGTTCCAGACAAAACTAACTAATGTAGAACCACTACGAGCAGGAAAAGAATTAAAAATAAAGATCCCAAAGCTTTCATAAAGAAAAAAGGATTATGCAGAAGTAAATCTGAAAACAAAACAACAAAAATAAATAAATAAGATTTTTCTTCTGATACCATAAACTGGAAAAATTCTGAAGAACATGTTTCTAGATCATAAAAAAGAAAAGATTATAATTATAATACAAAACACTACACCAAGCCAAGTTCTGTGGCAGTCTGAAGGGAATAACAGTCTCTTTCAGATACTCAGGATTTCAAAAAATTGAAAATTCATTTTTAAAGGAGCATAACCAAGACTCCAAAAGATTAAGAGTGAAGTTGGAATTAACAAAGGAAATATTTTTTGCAATGAAAAAGAGAAAAGCTTTATAGTCTAGTCTAATTTAATCATGTCAAAGAGAAAAAAGCAAAAACTTCATTTTCAATGGGGAGTGTGAGGGAAAAAATTTTAAATTTTCAACATTTATAACCATTAACATTCATAAAATAAGATTCTGAACCGCAAATCACTGCAGGAAGTAAACAGAAAAACAGAAATGACATTTTTTAAATTTTGCCTTAAAACAGCCAAGCATTTCAATTACAACCATCAATCTAAATACTTAACTCTATTGAATCTTTCAAAAGATACATTTAAAAGCAACACAGAACGATACAAAATAAAAAGATGTAGAAAGATAACATTCAACTGGCAAACCATGAACTGACAGCCTAAGTGGCTATATTGTCAGGCAAAGCAAAATACGTGATTCAAAAAAAACAAAGGCATTATGCAGGATAAAGACTAATTTTATACTGATAAGAATCAAATATATCAACATCAACCTGACCTATTTGATAAATAACAGCCACAAAATAATATTTTGTTTTAGAAAAAAAAAGTAAAATGTAAAGAGAAGTTGATAGAAACAATTACAGTAGTCAATTCTACCAATTTGTTGAATCATCTGGCCAAAAAATAAGGTAAAAGGACTTCATCTAACCAAATGAAATTAATAAACATACATGCTACATCTTTAAAAAGACTATTTCAAATATCAAACATTTGTTTAAGAAAAACCTATAATGGTTAAATTCTCTGATGAAATGCAATTAAAGCAGAAATGAACATGCTTTAACACAACCTAAAACAAGAAAAATAAAGCTGTCTGGTCAGGTATATACATGCATAACGTTACAAATACAATAAATTTGGGTGCAGCCCAAGCTATAATCAAAGGTAAATTTATAGTCTTAAATATCCTTTTTCCTTACGAAAGAAAAAGAATCATGAATTCAACTTCCTATTTCAGAAAGTAAAAAGGCAAGTAAAGGCACTGTGTGCAGACGAAAGTATAAGCATACACACCCAAGCAGCAGCAGGGCTCGTCCCTAGCGGGTAATCAGGAGAGAAAACATGGGCACCCCTCACCCAGCCAGGAAAGCAGCTCCCCAGGCCGCGGCCCCGCCCCCCGACGGTCACACCTGGGCGCGGTTGCCGGAGCCTCTCCGTCCCCAGGTGAGAAGGCCCCTCCCCTCAAGCCGCGCCGCGGGCCGAGACTTCCAGTTCCAGGTGGCGACCCTTAGCGGCAGGGGCGAGCGCAGGCCCGGGCGCCTCGGTGTCGGCTGCACTCAGCCTCGATCCCAGCAGCTCGGAAGGCCAAGCCTGGAGCCGCCCGGCGCCTCGGATTCCAGGGGCCATCTCCAGCATCCCACTGCACTCCCACCCCCACCCCCGTGAACCCCGCACCTCAGAGGGTAGAAAGACAAGACGCATGCAGTGGGAAACCGACGCCGGGGGAGAGATACCAGGACCACATTTCTGCACCAGTGGGACAAAATGTGAGGCCAAAAGGAGACCACAGATCATGGAGCTATATATGTTTTGTGAGAACTTAAAATTTTTCATAGAAGTGCTAACCTAAAAAATGTATAAAATTTGACCTTCGAGGATACAGCAATGCAGATTTTAATGCCTGCATTTAGCATTTGTATTTATTATTATGCTACTCCCAAGTGCTGTCAAAGACACAAGAAGCAAGATTTTTACATAGTAAAATCATAGAAAAAAGAATCAGATGTCTGGATAGCACAGGAATATGCAACCCAATAGTCAATATCACAATTAATAGAGCAAGCAGAGGATTCTTATTTTTGTACCTATCAACTTAAAACAGTTAAATTGCAAACAGCATACCAGTAAATTATGAGGAACTCTGTTCTGTATTTTAGAAATAATTGGATTGACACCCCATTTATTACAGCTTTCAGTTGTGCCACCAATGGCGAACCTGTGAACAAAAAGCTTTACGGAGTTCAATGTCATTTTCGTAAATCTTATGTTCAAAGACTGCTTGCTGGCATTCTGAGGTCTGATTATCCTGAACTAGTAAACAAGTTATCAATACTACTTTTATGCAAATATTTATACAAAAGACATTCTCTGTATCAACATTATTAAGGCCAAAGAAAAATCTTATGCACTGAACTGGTCCTGAGAAAAGATCTCTCTATTAAACCTAACCTTGGCAATCTAGTTTCAAAGCAAAATTGTTTGTCAGATTAAATTACTATTTTTTACTTCATTGTATTTATTTTATAAATTCTATTTGGCTTTATTTTAAAAAACAATGAAGATTACAATAATTTAAGTCAGCATGGGGGATAGGGGAGAGATGGCATATGGATCTAGAGTCCTTAGTTCCTTAGGACCTACATCCTAATAGAAATGAAAAACAGACTAAGAAATACTTCTGAATTAGTTCAGGGGAAAGCCCTTGTTATTGAAGTATAGCGTGACTACACATGGAGACAGCACAATCTAATGGGATCACATATATTTTAAGGAAATCTGAGTTTAAATCCCTATTTTGCTTCTACAAATAAGTAAACTTGGACAATTTACTTAACCATTAGATCTTCACCAGCTCTCATTCTAGAATTTATTAGTTTACCTGTATATATGTTAAAGGAAGCACACAGACCACTTTTGAAATAGATTTGACCTTCTAGAGAATATTCAAAGAAAGGCTACAGTAAAAGGTACACTTGAGTTATTCCTACCTTCTACTTTCACTTTACGAATTTTAAATACTTTGTGCTTCTGCATACAAATATTCTAATTGCTGCTGCTTTTCTGGTACTACACAAACTCTGCCCCAGTAGGTAGAGTTTTTTAGCCAACCTATAGGTATCTACAGATAATACGACAGAGCCTCAGTATATTCCTTAGGAAGCTTAAAGTGACCAGCACGGAACGCCTCGCAGTCATAAAGGTACAGATACAAAAACAGATGTATGAAGACATAATCACTGACTAAAAGAAAAACCAGAAAAATTAAAAGTAACTGCAAACAGATCCTAAAAAGTGCCCCATCAAGTAGAAAGTCTGATATGTTAAGCAATAAAAAAGTGGAAAAATATCTATAGATCTTGTCCAAATCTCAAAACTAAGAGCAAATTTAGACAGCATCTAAAAAACAAAGGTCTTAGTTAATAATCATTTATTTAATGTCATCATGGGGGAGGAGAGACCCAAAAGCGGCATATGAGATTCCAAATATTTAATGCAAGTATATACGCAAACACATACCAACATAGATATGTGTACATATAAAATAACTGTAAAAAACCTACAAGCTAATCAAGCAAAATACAATGTGTTTTAACCCTGAATCATAAATTAATAGATTTTAAAAGTACACCTCTGTGTTTCAGTTTCCTCATATGAAGATACCACCTATTTCAGAAGGTTTCTGGGACAATTGATAAATCGATCATTGAAAAACAATCTCTAAGCCATAAAGCACCTACAAATGTTAGTTAAGAAGTTCATATCAGCATTTTTAATAATAGCCCAGGGCCGGCCCGGTGGCGCACTGGAGAGTGCGCCACTTGGGAGCACGATGGCGCTCCCGCCGAGGGTTCGGATCCCATGTGGAGACTGGTTCCCACTCACTGGCTGAGCGCGGTGCGGGCGCAAAATCGAGGGTTGCAATCCTGTTGCCGGTCCCCGGTACGGGCGCGACACCGAGGGTTGCGATCCCGTTACCGGTCAGTAAAAAAAAGACAAAAAAATAATAATAATAATAGCCCAAACTGTAAACAACCCATATGTTCACCAATAGGTAGATTCAATAAACAAATTGTGGTATCTCCATCACTTAGTAATAAAAAGGAATCACTACTGATATGCACAATATGGATGAATATCACAATAACTATGCTGAGTTAAAGAAGCCAGACCAAAAAAAGATCAGATACTATATGACGGCACTTGTATAAAATTCTAGGCAGTGAACCCTAAGCTATAGTAAGAAAGCAGACTGCCTGGAAAGACAAAAAAGAATGTGAACAGCCAAGAAGGAGGGATCCCCAAGGGGCACCAGGAACTTTTGAGAGTGATGACTGTGTTCATTATTTTGAAGATGATGACTATTTCATGGGTTTATACATGTGTCAAATTATAAACTTTTAAATATGTATAGTTTATTGTATATCAATTATACATCAATAAAGCTAATTTTTAAAAAGTTGCTGGCAATGTACAGATTTGAATAAATATCTGATTTTTCTGCTCTCTCTATAAAACATACAGAGGATATTTTTCTTAAAAAAATAAACAACTTACTTTGCATTTCCAGCCATTGGTTGGTACTGATTTCATAACTGGTTGAAGACAAAAAGTATGATACCCTTTGTCACACGTATCACACACTAGCATCTTGCTATCTTCTCCCGATTGTCTAAAAAATAAGATAGCATTAATGATGCCTTATCTTTAAACTTATGTCTTGTAACATAAGTCATCATGAAAAGAATCAGTCCAGGGAACTGCACAGTTCACGAACACCTCTCCACAGACAATGATGGAGGTAACCCTACAGTGAGTCACTAAAGGGTTACCCTTACTCAGTGCTGACTAAAGGTCACTCCCTTTAGTCATCTTAGGATTCCTACAAAGGAGGAGGGTTAAGGTAAGATGAATGACCTCTGATCTATACTTTTCAAACATCTGATGCCCATCCTTTTTGGGGGAAAGAGCTATAACTGCTAGGCACAAATCTTAAAACAGTGCATTGGGAAGACTTTGTCATACAATGAAAAAAGGATCAAATTTGGCATCAGACCTGTATTTGTATTCAGACTGTTGCTTCCTAGCTGTGTGACTCTTAATAACTGAGACTTAAGCTCCCTGAATTTCAAGTATAAAATGGGAATAATAATCAAAGACTATTGTAAGAATTAAACATAATGCTGGCTCAAGAGCTTAAAAATGTCCACTAAGCAGTAAGGGCTAAACAGTATGTATTAAGAATAATAATCTTGTCATAATAAGAATTATAGTTGCAAACCTAAAACCTTTCTCAAAACACTCTTTCACCCCAAAGATGGGGCCCCTGCCCTGCAGCATGATCTCTGCCTTAATTCATGTCAATTAATCACCCTTGTGTGCTAAGATTTTAATTCAAGAGGTGGGGGGAAGAAAAAATGGGGAATGCAAGAATTGCTGAGAGAGGAACCTCTGAATAAAACCTGGGAATAAACACAAGTAAACAGGAAGATGGGTCAGTTGGCATCCAGTTATTACTCAGTTCAACAAATTCTACATATAAAGTTGCATATTTTATCTTTTCAGCTACATGGCAAGATCTTGGAGGAAAAGTATACTTTAAGTTCTCTTATTCCTTCCCAAGAAACTGAGCACAGATACAAGGCATCAAATAAATGTTTACTGATATTTTATCTAATTTTTGCCAAAATATGAAGACACATGATCCTATTTATTCTACATAACTCTAGGATACTGATGCTTATTGTTATCTAATTACTAATAAAACAAACTGATCATGGCAATGCTGAGCATAATTCCTACTGGTTATAAAAATTCTCAGATTGTAAACAATTTGAAGATGGCGGAAGATGCTGGTAACATCCCCACATTTTCATGCTAATTAAAATCATGGGGGAATAAAAATCACAGGAAGACTGGAGAAATGACCAAGGGATGAAATACAAAAATAGGAAAAGATAACCCCATTACAAATATTTAAATGCCACACAATACTTTGTTTTAGAATCATGGTGACTAGGATCTACTAAAGGTAACTGTTTTTCAAGTAGTTATAAATTTTGTTAAAATAATAGTCTTGGCAGGAACTGTCCTTCCTGGAATGGAATTTCAATCACATCACTGATTTTTTGGCTCAACTCTAATAACCAATTTCTGTAGTTAGAGGTTTATTTTCCTATTAAATCTCCTCCCCAGTCTCCCTCAAGAAGAGCTGCCATATTTTTCTAATACTTATTTAAAATTGCTAATATCTTTCATTGAAAAATTGTTGGCAAGTTTAAATTAGCTTTTTAGGCAACCAACCAGAGGAATCTAAATTATTAAAGTTAGTTTTGTTTAGACTTCTTTCAAAATAATATAAATGTAAATAAATACCTAGTAATTTTTTTTAAAGCATAGTGAAGTCAGTTTGAATGAATATAGCTGCTATATGAACAACCTTTATCATATTACACAAACCTTTAGCACCTAATAACAGGGTCTTTTCTTAAACTCAATACACACCTTTGAGTTGAAATTAAAACTTACTTGCAGTTCTGGCACACTTTGCACTCAGGACATTGCCAACCTGCACGTTTTAATGGAGTAACCGCTATATCCAGGCACATTCCATGATAGTGCTGACCACAAGTGGTACAAAAGAACTGATCTAAGAGGTCTCCCGGGCTGTCGCACACTGCACAGTTTGCATCTTCCTTTGCTATAATTAACAGTAAAACAATGAAATTGTTGTTTAAGAATTTATTATGTTTCTGACTTTACAGTTTAAAATCACTTTAAGGGAATTTGCGTGGTAAATCTTTCAGACATTTGAAATTATCCACATTGAACTGATATCCAATCAGAATGAGGTCTCAATGAAAATATTTTAGTGTATTTAATGTAAATTTAACCATACTGAATTTAATCATATAGTTTTACAATTATTTGTGCCTTTCACTACTTGAGACCATAGTAGTTCTAATTTAATTTTATATCCCTAATACCAATGACAATGCCGGGCACCTAGTTAATGCTCAATATATGCCTGCTGCAAAGAACCAAACAAGGAGAATATCAATTGAGCGACGCTTTGCAGTGAGTGTAAAAATAAACATTTTATTTGGTTGCTAAATATATTTTGAATTTACAAAATCAGATAAATCAAGAGACAAAATTAAGAAATGTTAATATCAATTAGATTAAGGTGCTTCTTAAGCCTAAACAGACTCTTTATTCAAATCAAATGAGGGTCTTTTAATACTGGAAAATGTCTTATTATGGGAGGAACATTAAAAACGGAAGCTACATATTCATACACAAATACAATACTTCATATACTAATTCTACATTCATTGCTATTAATTTCCAGTTGTAAAAGCTTTAAAATCCATATAATCATGGATACCATCTATCCCTAAATGGGGATTAAAAGAAAAGGTTCTTTCTAACAGCTCTTTTATCATCTAAAACAAAAAATAAATGTAAGAATAAACTACTTGCCAAATATATAGTTAAACTCATGCATATTAACAATGTAAGAAAAATAATGTGATATGAAAATCATAACAATTTTAGATAAATACATAAAATACGCCCATGTCTAGCAAGTATCACAAAGTATAAGAATCTTTTTGTTTTTGAAGGTTGGTCAGTCCTATCTCTTCCTCTCTGGCTGAAAGTACTTTTTACCTTCTTTCTTTCCCAGTCAAGCATCTTGAAACAGAGTAATAATCTATTCCTTTTACTTACACCAGGATTTGACAAACTTTTTCTGCAAAGGGCCAGACAGTAAATACTTTAGGCTTATGAGCCACAGCAGTCTTTGTCATATAGACTTTTTGCTTTTATTTACAGTCCTTTAAAAATGTAAAGACCATTCCTAGCTTGAGGGGAAGAAGCCCTGGAATTTATACTATAGGCTGAACCCCTGACTTATTTCAAAGGTGGGCTCAGCACCCACCATCCACCGAAAAGCCACTTTAAAGAGGCCACCACTGGGGCCGGCCTGGTGGCGCACTGCTACAGTGCGCCGCTTGGGAGCGCGGCGGCACTCCCGCCGAGGGTTCGGATCCCACGTACAGACCGGCTGCTCACTGGCTGAGCGAGGTACGGGAGCAACACCGAGGGTTGTGATCCCGTTGCTGGTCCCGGTCCGGTACGGGCGCGACACTGAGGGTTGCGATCCGTTGCCGGTCACGAAAAAAGACAAAAAGGAAAATAAATAAATAAATAAATAAAAATAAAGAGGCCACCACTGATCATATAAGATCCAGTGGTTACCTTTAGACCTTTCCTTACCTGCACTTTGAAGTATTTCCATTACTAGCCACTCCCATGTTAAAATCTCCTTTTCCTTGGCTTCTAAAATGGCAATCTGATTTCTCCTTAGATTCCCCATACCTTCTTTTTTGTTATTGTACCTCTACAATCCCTCTAAATGCTGAAGTCGCTTAGGATTTCATCTTGATCCTTCTTTTCTAATTCCCATTTCCCATTGTGATCACATCAACTCCCATGTCAAAAAATGCTACCATGATGCTCAAATCCATATTACTAGCCCCAGAGTTCTTTTTTAAACCCCAAACCTTTATTGTCAAGTCTTACTGGAGCTCAATAGCCACATGTTCTAAAAACACTCAAAGACCCAACAGCTCCAAAATGAAACTTTCCTTAAAAAATTAAAACCTTTCTTTCTTTCTCCCAAAAGAATGGGTAAAGGTAGAAACCTTAGTATTGTTGTTGACTCTCTAACTCTTCCCTGACCCAATACATCCAGCCACTTTCTATACATCACTCTTCCATTTTTACAGTTTAGTCCATCATATTTTGCCTTGCTACTTGCAGTGTCTTCTAAATGGAATCGTCCCTGCTTTACAGTAATGTTCTCCTAAGTCATCTTCTATACATCCAGAGCAATCCTTTCAAGAATGTAAAGCTAATTGTTATGCTCTGCTAAAATTAAAAACCCATCAACACCTCCTTTTCATCCAAAAGAATTTAAAAAGTCAGAATTTTCTAGTATGAGGTAAAAACGCCCTTACTTCCCTTTCCAACTCATATCAGAACCAACCCCTCACAACTGGTCTGCTGTGCACCTAACACAACATGCTGTTCAATGCCTCTGTGCTTTTATACATTTTTAAATTCCCCTCAGCTTGAAATGTTGTGCCTTTGTTATTCCCCTTGCCTATTCCAAAGAGGCCTTCAAAACTCTGCTCAAATATATTCCCTAAATACCCATTTAGTTGTGAAATATTCCTTTTCCCCATGAGCTTAGAAGAAACTTCTGTTATATAATCAATCGATTACAATACAATTCTATGAATACTTGAAGGACAGGGACCTTATCTTTTTCAACTTTGTAACCCCAAATGCCTAACATGAATCAAGTCTTATGAAATATATTTTAAATGAAGTACTTGCTACTAAAGTCACTTTTAAATGGTTCTTTCATTGATAGGCACTTAAAATAAATCATTAATCTAAAAATGGAAATGCCATAAATAAGTTCATTTTTGATAGAAAGAACATAACAGGGTAAATTATTTTTCTTAATACAATTGAAGAGTGCCAGAATTTACCTTTCAGGTTATGTACATTTAAATACTAATCTGTGATTTTTTTAACCACCCTAAAAAAATTTAGAAATTGGGGAAAATACTTTACTGATTATCAGATACTGAGTTCATCTTTCTTTTCTATACTTTTCCAGGAACACTTTTTAAAATGCTTCTGTGAAACTCTCAGGGTTTGCTACTCTGATGCTTCAACTTGCCATGGTAACTACTATCCACGTGAATGTGTTGGTCCAAATGGAGATGTATGGAAATATAAAATGCACACCGGATTCCAAAAAGTGGGCAGAAAAAAGAGTGTCTCAAAATTTTTTATATTGACTGCATGTTAAAATATTAATATTTTGGCATATTGGGTTAAATAAAATATATTAAAATTAATTTCAAATGTTTCTTTTAACTTCTTGTAACATGACTACTAGAAAAATTAAAATTATTCATATTGCTCACATCATGTCTATTGCACAGCACTGTTCTATACAACAAATCGCGCTCTGCAATAAGACAACTCTGTATATTACTGTTGCAGAGATCACTTTTTATTCTGATACTTTCCAGCAATTTCTTAATGACAATCCTGTCATGTTGTTTGATTACTGCAAATCACTGGTAATAACTTAGTCAAAGAAAAACATCCTGGTGATACATCCAACCCCAAAACATTAACTATGAATTATGTAAAATACAGTAATAGAAAAAAGTACTACAGAAAGAAGGAGGTTGGTTCCAATCTTCTCCCCAAGTCAGGGAGAAGATATGTGCAGAAATACTAAAATAGCCTTTTGGAGTCATGTATAAGAAGATGACATTACTTGGTAGCTTTTGTGCCATGACAGAAATAAGTATATGTATATATACATACACATATGTCTGCAGGACACAGAGACATTGAGTTGGAAAAGCAGAATAGATGGCGTGAAAAGCTACAGATAATTTAAGAAAGGACAGGAGTAAAATCCAGCTCTGTTTGGCTCCAAAGATTATGCTCTTTACTACAATCAATATTAACTCCTAAACAAACTTTACTACTAATCAATGAAGGTGAAGAGTATCTGAGTATACACAAAAGTGTAAGGGAAAGTGCCAGCAGAGGCATAGAAGAAAGAAACTAAATGAAATAAGGTGAACAACGTTCTTGTGGTAAGAGAAAAGAGGGAGAAACAGAAGGATAATCTTTGGAGAAAGTCATTTCCTACGGGACAGCTATGAAAAGAGATTTGGGGGGAAAAAAAGACAAAAACACTGAGCTTAAATGAGAAGGTAGCTTATTAGAGATCCTTAAACTTGGTCAAAGTGGAAGGTGAAACTTCATAAGAATAAAAGCACTGATGAAGAACAACAAAAGTCAAAGTGTTGCCATATAGCATTGGTTTAAGAAGAACCAAATCAGCACAGCTAACTTCCACCAACATTACAACACCTGTCATCTGCCAGTTTTCATTATGGGCAGGACACCGTATAGGGTGATTTGCCCATCATATGGAATCTCTAGAAAGAAAAAGTAAATCATGGACATTATCTAAACAAGCTGGCCCATATAGCTGGCAGGTCCCTAAGAAAAAAAGTCAGGAGTAACAGAAAAGTAGCAGGACTTAGTGTCAAGAAATACAAAGACAACCACAGAAAACAGGTTGGGGTTTAAGTTAAGTAATGAAAGTAAACACACACTGGGGGTTGGAGAATGGATCAAGAGATATAGCATTCCCATGCCAAACACTACAGAGACTTCCCATTGCAGACAGAATAAAATCTAAGCTCCTTCCCTTGCTTCAAGGGCCTAGGTGATCTAGCTTTTGTTCACCTTGATGTTATCTCTACTATCTCCCTAGTAAGCTACTATGTTCTTCTAGGTACGTTGTCTAGCTGTCTGTTCATGAACATGCCAAGCTCATTCCTCAAGGCCTGTGTAGTAGCTGTTCCCTCTACCTGGAATGTTCTTTCCTCTGAACTTGCACACCTGCCTCCTGCCATTCAGCTTTCTCACTCAGAAAGTCTATCTGGTTATATCTTCTAGATGGATATTTAGTGTAAAATTCCCAGAAAAGGTTAGTGTATCCTTGCATCATCATGAAAATAACATTGTAGCCATGATCAGCCATTTACCTATGACAAAGCACCCGAAAATTGTTTTGGGTTGAGAATCTTGGCCATGTTCACAGATACTCTCTTTGGTGGGATTTCTTTCTAATGAGATCCATATTTTTGTTAGATTTGTCTACTTTCATAAAAAGATGTCAACCCAGCCATCTATCACAGTACATTGCTCTGTACTTAACCAGCAACATAATGTACACTCAATACATGTTATTATCCTCATAACTTTAGCCTTAGAGCTAAAAATAACTACCTTTTCATAAAGCAATTAATATATAAGGCACAATGCTATGTGATTTCCATTAATTATTATCATTTAAACTTCACAACACTGCAATTTAAGATATCCCCATTTTAAAATCATAAAAAGTACCTCATGTCATGACACACAGGGAGGATAGCTAGAAATATTTATGAAAGATTTAATAAAGGCAGCAACACACTCTATCTGCAATATTCTCTAAATTATATCCTTGGATTAAGACAGATGGTCAGAGAGCTGTGTATTTACACCACATTCTTTAAAGATCCCAATGAACAGAATTTATTCAATTGGGTCTTGGTTTTATACCACTGGTTTAGTTTGAGGGGTGTTATAAAAAACAGCCCTGTGGGATTTATTTTTATACTGCAAGGCAATCACTTAAGACAATTTTCACTGCAGTATATAGTGTCAACTTACCCACCAGTCTGTTTCAAGTGAATTCTTGTTATATATACTACTAGTCAGGTAAGTGTTCGTATTTCCTTCTTTGTGTTCATTGCTGGAAAGCTCTGGGGCCATATCTGTGGTTTATGTCTAGGAAGTACGCATTTATTTTCAGTATCAGTTTCACCATTACCTTCATATTTATCCTATCAGTATTTCCCACAGGCAATTTCCTTACTTATTTTAAATTTTATTTTATCCTATTGTTCTTGTATTTTTATGAATCTCCATAAGTCTATTTTGGAACAAGTCATAGTACCTATAATTTCAGTATATCTTTTAGCTTTATATTGCCAGCATGAACCTTTCACTATATGCATGATAAATGATGGCAAATCATCTCACCTCAGTTCTTAACAGTTTATTATTTTACAAACTGATTTATGCTCACTGACATATAAATGAGGGTATACACTACCAGAACACAGCAGTCAATAGAAAGTAGCACTGTCATTAAGTAATAACATTTATAACATTAGATCCATATTCATACAAAAGTTTGCATATTGTTTACAGAGCACTAAAGCCATGACTGAATACAAAAGGATGAATAAAATTCAGATTCTTATACACACAAAATTGTTTTATTCAGTTGGCAGAGTTTGTTATACCACCCAGAACAAAATCAACTCTGATGACTGACATCTTCGTTTATGCACTTATTGAAGTAATTCACTACATAGATAATGCCCTTAACAGTTGCTGTGCATGAATGTTCTTTTTCTCCCAGATTTAACACTGTGCAATCCAAAACATTTGGATTCCTTTAAATTCCTTACTTACCACCCTAAATAAAACTTGAAATTTCAGTTTGCCCTACCTATAATTTATGTCTATATAGTTATTAAGGGCAATACGATTACATATGTGGACAAAAAATAATTCTAACTGAAGATAAAATTATGTACTGAACAAAGACAAAAAGTAATGATCATATAGTCTAACTGTATTTGAGATAGTTTAAACTTTAGTTTAAGCCTAAGGTAGCTACATTTATGTTTCACAGACCTGGAAAAGATAGGAAAAAATCTTTTATCAACATTGCTAAGAAACAGGTAAAACTTAACAATTAGGTAACTAAGAGGTGACATAAAAAAGAATACATAAAACATCATGGAGATTTTGCAAGGAGACTGGGGAAATTCAATTTACTAGGGGAAAAAAGAGCCCAAAACATACATGCTCATTGAAAACCCATATAGTAAGAAAAAGTGTAGATCGTTGTTTAATAATAAAGATAATAAAAAGTTATAATTTCCTATATAACATAAATTTCAAACATTTAAACATTTTCATTAAATTATAAATACTGTTTGGAAAAAGAAAGAAAAACAGCACAACTACAGATTACAGATAATCAAGATAAAATCATGAAGAAACACTAACATGTCTATCGTGGCTATCAGGGCTACACAATTTCCAAGAATTTCATAACTGTTTGGTCCTTTTTTTAGTGTATATCCTGAAATAAAACCTGAATGAACACCTTCTATTCTCCAACAGGGTGGTTTTTTAGTGTTAAAGAGATTAAACACTTTTTAACTTTTTAATGAATTACTTTATAGTACATATTAGAAATATTGTATACTTAGTATTTCTATCTTTCTATGGCAGCTTAAAATTTTTTTAATGAGAATAAAAACAAGCAAACTATCTTTGAATTTCTGAGAAAATAACTTTTTGGATTTAACTTCAATGAAATTGTTAATAACAGATTGCATGCCTCCCCCCCCAAGGACCTCTGCTAAAGATCCCTCATATTATGAAGATTATGTAATACTACCTTTAAATAAAAGATGAATAATGCTTAGGGAACTTACAACATTTGTTATTTTATGTAAAGGCATTGATAAAATTTTTAAAATATATCTGTAGTAAACTTACATCTTTCAGGAGCTTGGTCAATGTGTTCTGGACAAAGAAGGGAGAAATGACTGAAATCCTGAAAAGTGCCAGCTCCAGCAGCACAGGGATAATGGTACATTTGGGTACACTTCTCTTCACAGCATTTGATAGTGGCTCCAAGGTGCTTACAAAATGCACATCGCTGAAAAGGGGGTAAAGGAGAGAAACCTCTTTATAGAACTTTGAAAAGGAACATTCAAATGTAGGGCTAGAAAGTTATTTTTAAAAGTCTTTGTACATTACTAATAAAACAATTTGAAACTGCAAAATACTAAAGAAAGGATCAGTCAGAAATAATAAAACTTAAGGTACTCAGTTCAGTGCTTGGAATACTACTAACTCATCCTCTCACTCAAATTAGGAAGTTAGCATTTCACTTTTTTTCCTATTTACTTTTGTAAAAAACATACAGCTAAAGATTTTTTTTAAAACAAATAGTAATATAGTTAAGGGCAGGGTTCTAGTTGAGGGTTACTTTAACAATTTTTAAACCCAACCAAAACAGATAAGTGGAACATATATTATTTGTAAGACCTATTATTATTTTTCACCCTGCCTGAAAATCAATATGAAATAAACAAGTCAATCATAAAATAAGTTAATGGGACACAACTATATTATTAAAGACACACATAAAAATCTACATACTTCACTATAGGAATTTGTTTCAAGTTTCTTTACAAAAGCTGGGACTGTGAAGAAAAATTAAGTCACCTAGGTATCTTTTCCCTTTCTATTTGAACCTGCCTTCACTCTCCTCAAGTGGTAAAAAGCAAGGAAACAAGCCCCAAACAAACAACAAGGGAAGTCTAGGGCAACTGAACACTCAAGAAGTCAGTACAAATTACCTAAAATGCTGCAATTACTTATTCAACTTTCCTTTACAATGATTAATAAACTCTTCTCCTCACAAGCCCACTTTGGGTATCATTTTCTTTGCTGGGTGGCCCTGCACAGTACAGTATAAAATCTCTCCCTGTACGAGGTGCCTAACTATCTATCTTATACATACTTCTGTTTTAGCATTTATATTATTACATGGTAATTATTTATTTGTCTTTTTTTCATCCTAGTCCAAGATCCTCAAGTAGAGGCACCAGATTGTGCTGTCTTCTATCCACAGCACCAGGAATGCTGCTTGACACAGACAAGCCCTAACAAACAGGTATTCAAATTCACATATACTAAATAGACTTCACTTTCGGCAATTACATTTGTAAGCATGGCTTATAAATAGCCTACCTGAAACAACTGAAGTCTCACGTAATAGACACAGTTGGACTTCTGCCAACATTACTGTGTGAATATCTTCACATGCTAATACACTGATTCAATCAGAGAATATAATCGTTTTTAAAATTATACAGTTATGCATCACTTAATGACGGGGATTCTGAGAACTGTGTTGTTAGGCAATCTCGTCATTGTACAAAAATCACAGACTGCACTTACACGAACCTAGATGGCAAAGCCTACTACACATCTAGGCTATATGGTATAGCCAATTACTCCCAGGTTACAAACCTGTACAGAATGCTACTGTACTGAATATTGTAGGCAACTGTAACACAATGGTAAGTTTGTGTATTGAAGCATATTGAAACACAGAAAAGGTACAGTAAAAATAAAGTATTATAATCTTATGGGCCCACCATCATATATGCAGTCAGACGTTGACCAAAACATTGTTACACAGTGCATGACTATAATTATTTCCAAAATTTTGATGTGTAAGTCTACATAAGACATCACATATCTCAAATTCTTCCTCCTCATCATTAGAACACTGCAGTGAACCGATAAGGAAGCTTAGTGACTCTTGGTGTATCTTCTGAACATTTTGAGTGCAAGTCAACAGACGACTGTAAATTTTAAACAACTCATAACACTAGTTATATTTGTGACATTTTAATTTTATATAATGTCCACAAGCATACAGACTAATACATATTTCAAATTTTGTACTCAAGGTGTTATTACATTAAAAAGACAAAAGAAAATAAATAAAGAAAGCCTTATTTTTCTTCATTGATACAATGTAATAACCAGCTTTTTCAAGCAGGTTATATTTTTATATTATAACTTCCGAAGGTATCTAAATATGTTTAGTATATCAACAGAACCCAGAATTAACCACAATTATAACACCTAGGTAGTCTGAGTGTCCTATTGGAAAGGCCAAGAAACTGTCAAGGAAACAAAGTGCAATCAGTCAGCTATAATTTTTTAATAATAACTCTTTAACATAACAAAGTAATTTCTGCTAAACTGTTAAAATCTAGAATCTCTTATTTTGATACCATATGGCAAGTTGTGCAGAAGCGTTTGGACTAAAAATAATTTTGGCAAATAAAATATAATGAATTTTATTTAAGTACATAATGAGGAAAAAATAATTTAAATTGATCCTTTTCCCAATGTCTATGTCATTTTAGAAACACCAATATGTTCTCTTAATCATATCTGCTATAAGAAATATTACACGACATTAGCTAAACTACTATGAAAAGTACTGGAATATATCCAAATACTAATTTATTAAATCATATAAAGATTCCAGGGAATAAAGGAAGGGAAATAAAACACTAACTGCATTTAAGTGAACCTTTTAAACCCATCTGTTTAATTACATAGCTAATGAAGAAAATTTGGCATTAAAAGAAAATATATGCTATATACATGCATTTATCCATGGAATGTATCTTCTTAAACCAAATAAAAAGTATTTGTAAAACTGTAGAAAATGTTAAAGAATAAATTTCCATAGGGAACTTCTCTAACGCCAGCATTCTCACATACCACACATCAGAACAAGTTATAATAATATATAGTACATATGAGTTACAAAGCTAATTAACATTGGGGGAAAATGGTAAATTGCTATTAAATGGTGTGTCAGCTAAATTATTTATTTGAATCAATATTTTAAACTCCTAGGTAGCATTTTATTGTTTTCTACTTTTTTAAATCATTAAATAAAACAAAAGAGAGAAGAAAAAGTAAAGTGTTATAATATCTTTTGACATTAATACAAGAACACATAAAAAAATCTCAATGAGAGCTCATATCAATTTTAAGAATGAGTTTGAGAAACTTTCTAAACTTTTATTTAACTAGAGTACAAGAATCTCTCAAAATAAATCTTTAATACATAAATTTAAAAAAATAAACTTTAAAAATCAATAATACAAAACAAAACAGAATCAACAAAATTTCAGAGATTAAGTTGTGTGATAAAACAGTAACAAGAAGTTCAAGGATATTCCAAAGCTCATTCAAGTGTCAAGTATTTATTCAGTATCAACTATGCAATGGTTTTAGACTAGGTGCTCTAAGAAATATCAAGTATTACTAGACTTTCCATACTCCAAAATTGTTTTTAACCTTCACCAACCTTTTCTTTTTATTAGTTAGCTGGGATTCTCCCAGAATACAGCAACAACAACAACAAAAAAAATAGCAAAGAAATTAAGAGTAAAAGGCAAAATGACATGGAAAAGTGAGGTAGCCAGTCCAGTATCTGTTTAACAAGAGTACCAGAAGGAAAAGAATTAGAAGAGAGATAATAACCCCAGAAATTATTAATGAAAATATATAATAACAAGGGCTAACATTTATTTAGCATAATCCCCATTTAACAGATGAGGGACTTAAAATACAAAGAGGCTTTGCCTCTGTTCCATTGATCTCTGTATCTCTACCAAAGTACCCATTCTTAATTTCTATCACAATTCCTCCATAAAGACCCTAAACACCAGCTTCAGATTAAAACATACCACACCTAGAAACATTGGCAAAATTTTAAGATAACAAGAATAAAGGGAAAATTCTAGGGCTCCATGAGAAAGAAAACAGGTCATTTACAAAGAAAGGGGAATCAGACATCACTTCTTGTTAGTAACATTAAAGCGGGGGGGGGGGGTATCTTCTAAGATCTACAAGAAAATAACTTAAAACTAAAATTTTAATGCCTGTTAAGCTAACATTCAAGTCCATAGATAATAAATGTAAACAGGTTATATTCTCTATTAAAAGAAAGCAACTTTCAAAACATTCAAAATATACTCAATACACACACAAACTTTATGTTTAAAAACACACATCTTATTTGTGTGTAACATTAAGGGGGGGGGGGGGGGTATCTTCTAAGATCTACAAGAAAATAACTTAAAACTAAAATTTTAATGCCTGTTAAGCTAACATTCAAGTCCATAGATAATAAATGTAAACAGGTTATATTCTCTATTAAAAGAAAGCAACTTTCAAAACATTCAAAATATACTCAATACACACACAAACTTTATGTTTAAAAACACACATCTTATTTGTGTGTGTGTATATGTGTGTATATAAATATATATAAATGACACAGAGTAACATATGCAATTCAAAAATAAAGAGCTGAGGAACAAGAAAAAAACATAGACAAATGCTATCCAAAAATGCAGGTACAGCAAAATTGATTGCAATGAAAAATAGAATTCAAACTAAAAAGCAGTGAATATTAACATAAGTTATCTTATAGTGTAAATTTTAACAGAAGAAGAAACAAAGTTTATATACCTAATAAACATCTTCGATATATAAAAAGCAAAGTTGAGTAGAAATACATACATAGATTAGACTTTAACATAGCTCTTAAATGAAGATATTAAAAAGATATAAAATAAAGAACTTACTAACAATGATCAGGTTGATTCAAACAGACACATAAATAAACACCGATCTCTGTTTTCCAAAAATAGAGAATACATACTCTATTCAAATGTACACAGAATCTTCAAAAAATTTCACCATACAGAAATGGCCATAAAGAAATGTCAACATATTCAAAAAAGCAGATATTTCCTAAGTCATATTCACTAAAAGCAGATAGGAGGGTACTTCAAAAACTTCACAGAAACATTCGCACTATCTTTCAATTCTATTTTTCCACAAACTTTTTAAAATACCCTAGTACCTGAGTCTGTCCCTAGACCTAATACAGTTAGAATGAGAAATTCACGCTATAAAGGATAAATTCCAAAATCTATCCATTAGAAAAATCTACTCTCTTCTGTATAACAGTAGAGATTTTCTTTAAATAAAAAAAAGCATTATTATTTTGAAATGATTAAGAAACATCAAATTCTTTGAGATGTG